TCAACTTGTCACAGACTGGGCAAGCACCAAGAGACAGGCTTCTCTTTTTTTTTTGGCAAACTCTGAGTCCCACCTACAAACACACTTATCTAATCTACAAAGATAACAAGAGTTGAAAGGAATTTCAACACGAGTACCATTAAATAACTCTGCTGTGTCTCGGAGTTAGGCTGCACATAAAGCACACACTGCACATAAATTTGGAGGCATTAACCAGCTACTGCCACTTGGATATCCCATGTAATCTCCTCAAGTGGATTGTCAGGTCAAGACAGGGCTGAGCACGGGTGGCGGAGGAGGAAAGAAAAGAGGAAAAAAATTTGATCTCTCTTTGTGAAATGAGCTGGAACGACACTGAGCAATTGGAGCCTTGCTAATGAAGTTAAATGCCCGCTGAGTGCATTCATTCATGGTGTTGTGTCAATCCCCCCAGTCCTGGAAATCGACACGCCAGTGAAGCCAGTCGATCACATGGCTTTAATGGTGGCAGGCTGTGCCATCCGCTGCCAACAAAGCCACAAATCTCTGTCCCTCGCTGGCCCCATCTCTCCACGTTTTGTCCTTTTAAGACTCTTCTTTTCTCTGCGCATTTGCCACGTGTCCTTGTCCTTTTATGTATTTTGCTCACTTCTTCCTCTTCGTACCTCAGCAATAGCAGAAGTTTGACACCAGCTAATAGCCAAAGGTCACAGGCCTAAGTAATGAATATGGTTGCAAAGTCTGGTTCTGTGCGGAGCTCTTTAGCATAGAATTAACCAGGTAAACAGTGGAAGAAATACTTAAATTTAGGAATTTATTTTGAGTGGATAAAAGAGTTTAAGGTTGTCACAATACTAGAATTTTAAACTTTGATACAATCCTCCGATGAATAAAACACTTTCAATAACTCGATTACAGGACAAAAAGAAAAGTCAGTCCTTGGCACACATAATACAGTGATTTTTTTCCTATTTTTTAATTCATTTATTTTATTAATAGCCTGCACATAGTGCCAGTAAAGACAAAAAAATCACTGAGCAAGCACCTCCAGTCATGCTGTGGGTTTGTTTCAACCACAGGATGAGGACAGGTTAATTTTCTTCCCCACTGTTTCATATGTGCAGTCTTGGTTTCTTTTCTAATAGCTGTGATACTATCGATACTACTATTAAATGTATACCTGACAGGGATCATACAATTTTATACACCTGATATTCAGAAATGTGCAAAATTAGTCTAATAGATGAGGTCATGTTTTGTAGGATAATGTTTAACGTACATAACGCACCGCACAAAGTAAAAAATGTGATTAAAAAAGACGCAATATTTTTGCCAAGTGTTTAAGCCTATAGATTATGACACTCAATTTTGACAGTTTTATGAGTGATTTCTTACTTTGAGAGTTTAAACTTCTGTTTAAACATCAGGGAAATTAGTCATTGCCATCCTTAGTGGTATCGGAAAAGTGTTAAAGTTGATACTTAAACACTTTCAACACAACCTTACCTGAGTTGTGTTGAATGACGACATGGCAAACAGGCCGTCAGGCAATTCCTGTAAAGCTCTACCGATTCCTATACAAAAAGTGCTTCATTAAAATGAGAAGTTCCCTTTAATGCACTTCTCCATCCATTCATTGCTGGTGCACTGTAACTTCTTTTGTTTCAATCAGTCAAAATCTGTGAATGCACCCCTGCATTATGAGTACCACTCATTAACTGACCAGGCTATGTTGCTTTAGCTCGCTGTGCAAATAGCCACTCATCAATAGGTTTACCTTTAAGAACAAAAGGTATAGCGATGAAGGTAACTGGGTCTTGAGTATGAAACTATACCATGAGAAATTGAAAAGAAAATTCATTCAACACCTCTAACCTCTCCACCATCTTCTCAGTCACTTAGGAAATGAAAAACCTCGATAAAGTTCTTCACAGTGCATCCCTCCTCAGCTCCTCTGTCAACCTCTCTCTCATTGTTTCAGGTAAGTTGATCCTTTGCCCCACTGCTGGGGTGTACAGTACCACCTTAACAGCCAAACAGACAGCTGGCTGCACAACTCAGCTCAGTGCTGCAACTCAACCGGAGAGATCAGGCTGGAGATACAGCCACCTCTGCAAAGTGGGGAAATGCAAGATGTGCTGCATACAGCCCACTGCATGACCTAGAAGGACCTCTGTAGAGGAAAATGCTCGAGACGATGCTCACAGTTGGTAGCTGAGGGCCATCTTGGATGATGTGGCACACAGCAGCTGACCAGTGGGTGGTGGGCAACAACAATTCAAAGCCTCTAACTCCTATAGACATCTTTCCACCAAACTGTTTCTTGCATATCTAGTCTCTATCTCCTGAAATTGAGGAACAGATTAAATAAAAAAAAGAAGAAAACAGAGATCTACACAGACAGGCCCTGATTTATGAAAGAGCAGCACTCACAGAAGAAAATATGTAATCAACAAATGTTTCTGTGGCAGCTGCTGTATTCACTTTAAGGTAAACACAAATCAGCATTGTGACAAATTGATGTTTGGTCCACATCTGTTTTGCGGGGAATAAACTACACATTAATAAAACAGGAAGTGCTGCTTAAAATCTTTAGGTCTGTTTACACATCTGCATACACATAGGCTTTCAAAATCTGTTTAAAAGTGTTTACAAATAAAGAGAGTACATGCTATTAGAGCCTAGTCAAGGTAACATAACCAAAGATGGCGGTCTCTCTGTAAAAAGGGAAAGAACAGTTAGGATGTTGTTGTTACAGTGGACTTGGGTGGGGGATATTTAGTCAATCCAGAGTGGATACTTCCTCATTACTAAGCCTGACTAGATGATGGAAATATAAAAGTACATTGCTGCACCCAGGCTGCACTCTTTCTGTAGATCTCACAGGAAAGCTACTCTCAATACTGGTGTCACTGTCTCATGATAAAAGCACAGCAAAGCCTTGGTTACAGCTGTTCTGGGTCATAGGTTGTTTATCTCTGAGCAGTTTTTCAAACATGCAAGATGCAAAGAGAGATGCAGCCACACCAAAGGGATGTGGTAGGCCACATGTCTCTTTTGTTCACTGCAAGAAAAATAAGCACCACAACACAGTCTTCAGATTTAAAACTAAAACCAACCAGACTGACCAGGCAGTGAGGTCAACTATTGTTCAGGACAGAGGAACATATTTACCTTCACTTAAAGCCATGTATGTCGCTACACTGCCCATGCCACTGCCTCTCATTTAATTCCCTTCAACACTGCCTGACGTTACACACATGCTGAGTTATTCACCGTAAAGCACTTGTGATTACAGCGGACTAAGTTAGGTAGGTTAGCTGGCTAACATTAGCTCATTCCAAGTAGATGACGTTTGCTGCGATGATGCTTGCTAGCTCGCTATTTTCGTACCGTAAACCCTTGTAGTAAAACGTCTAATGTTTGCCCACGCTCAAATTATGTGTGGTGGAAGAAGTACTACATGTGTAATGTATAATTCCAAGGCTAACGTACCTATACATTGGCCCACGGGAGTGCTGTACGGATTTCCAAGTAAGAACTCCATTTTGACAACAAACAATCCGCTCGGGAATGACAGAAGCTGAGGCCCAGAGGCGGTGCTACTAAGTCCCGCCCACACAGGAATACTATTGGTCGAAAAAACAAAAGCTGTAATATGAATGGCTGGATTCAATGTCGGTCATATTTAGAAACTGAAGCTATGTTCAACAACCATGCACAGCCATCGGAGAAGTTGATGTTACCAAGAATAAATGTTCCAGTAAATACATCAGCGATCACATATAAGCTGTAACTCTGCCACAGTAGGATTAAATTAATTGACGGAAAGCTTGGCTAATTAAAATGGGGGAACATTTTCGACTTAATAATAAAATGAAGGAGGTTTACTTACATTGGAAAGATTTGGACTTGGTATTGAATATTCTTGTACTTTCTGTGTATTAGAAAAAGAAACAATCGGCCATTTGTGTGATCACTATATGTATACCACGATATTTTTGGGTGGATGTTCAACTTTATATAAGAATTACTGGGCAAGCAATTCAATTACAAGAGACTGACTTTTTCATGTGTTTCTGAAAGTTATGAGGTGGATTTTTTAACTGTAAATGTGTGTATGTAGAATTAAATAGAATTGAAATAACTTCATTTATCCTAAAGAGAAATTCAGCTGTCCAGCAGCTCATAAAAGACAAAAAACAAAATAATACATTAAGATAAGTGCATAACTAGAGATTACATTAAAAGTAATGTTAATATATGAATATTTGGGAGCTGTTGATCGAAAAAAAAGTATATTAATGCCCAGGAAACTATAAAATATATTAGTTTGGTATATTTATGTATAAGAAGAAAAACTGGGCAAGCAATTCAGTTGTAGAAGACTGATTTTTTTTCATGAATATTGTTTTGGGGTTGTTTGTTGCTGTTGTTTGTACAATTAATTTTATGGAAAATTTCACATTCACAAGAAGGAGGGAAGACTCCAAAACGACAATATATGGCACCTCAATAAGAGGCCTTAAAAATAAAAAGGCAATAAAAACGATCAGACATTATTATCCATTGTTTTACTTATGTTTTTTTATTTTATTTTTTTCTGTGTATATATGTACCCCTATAGTTTTGTGTATATACAATGTTAATGTAGGCCTATGTATATTTGTTCAATAAAGATTTTTTTAAGAGCTGTCGATCGAAAAAAGGATATTAATACCAATGAAACTATATATTTTTTCCATATATTTATAGATCCTTAATTAATAAATGATAAACACAACCATAATAAAGAAAATCAAGCTTACATCCTTTTAAACATAGCATCCAAATAGGCCTTTATATATAAAGTTTGACCGGAGCCTACAATGTACTAAAAAAGGTTTAACCAAAAAAAAAAAAAAAACAACACCGCTGCACCAAATGTCATAGCTAACCATTACTTTGATGTGTGTTGTTCATTTTAACACAAGCTCTTGAACGTACTTGAACGCAGCTTAAAGTAAGCTGGTTGCTATGTAACAGTACAACAGAGGTGCGAGTGTAGATGCTGAATTTATCAAGGTAACGTTAGTAAAACTTGTACGTTACGGTTTGTGTTTGTAAGTACACTGTATTAAGAAACAACCTTTTCGGCTAATAACTATTTGATAAACTCATTTATTCATTTAGCTGTGTCAGCTAACATGATCTTGGCTAACGTTACACTATCAAATGTCTTCTTTCTCTGTTTAGCATCATCTTTAACTGAACTAACCAAGCTCCAAATTAACTTCTGCTGAGGATGGATGAGGAGAGTCTGAAGACGGCAATAATGGAGGAAGCCTCCAAAGATACTGGCCCTATTTTCCAGGCCGAGGGAATCAACTTCAATGAAATCCTCCAACTACGTCTGGGATACAGAAGTGAGACTTACAAAATAATAATAATCAGTGCATGAATGTGTATGGGGTTTAGGTGTGTGAGAGCTTGTTTGTTTACAGATATCCTGATGATTGACCACTTGTGGGAATTCACATCCTTGACCAAACTGGAGTTGAACAACAACCAAATAGAGAAGATGGAGGGCCTGGACCAACTGCTCAATCTGACATGGCTTAGTAAGATGAACATTTGTATTCATATTGGGTCTAACGCATAGAGTACTTTGATTACTTTTGCAGTAACGAGTAACCTAATGCGTTAGTTTGCTGTTTGAGTAATCAAATACTTGAGTACATTTTCAAACAAGCCATCAGTTACTTCCATTACTTTTAGAATGCTGGTCCTTCAGCTCCGAAACAGCAACGGCTGTCTTTTGGTTCTAATAACGGACATAATGTTAAACCTGTCAGTCCGAAAGAAGCCATGAAGCTTGTGGCATCAGCATTAATGACAGTCATTCTGAATGTGTCTTTTAGATCTGTCATTCAACAGCATACAGAAAATCGAGGGTCTGGAGTCTCTGCGGAAGCTTGAAGTGCTGAATTTGTGCAACAACAGAATCTCTGTCATTGAAAACATGGACACACTTGAGAAAATCACCCTCTTCTTCATCGCTAACAACCACCTCAGACAGTTGGACAATGTAACAAAATTTTCTGTCACATTAGTATCATGTAACATTTGTGCTTAGCAGTTTCAGGATGTTGTACATAACCTAATGCAAGTTAAATGCATTTCAAAGGTGCTCTATCTCAGGGGGTTCAAGAACCTGCGCAGCATCAACCTATGTGGGAATCCCGTCTCTAAGGAAGACGAATACAAGTTTTTTATGGCAGCCCACTTTCCAAACTTGATGTACCTAGACAGCAAATCACTTGACGAGAAGACAGTAAGTATACAAAGTGGTGCGTTTAGACTCAGGCCTAAGTCGCAATCAACTGTCATTTCCTTTTCGGCTATTTACAGTTTGATGCTGTATAACTAAAGCATGTATCTATGTGCAGAAAAATGAAGCGTCTATCAAATACCGCAGTGTCCTCTTCAAGATGAAACTTGAGGAGCTGCAGAAGCAAGAAGCCACTGAGGCTGAGCAAAGACAGGAAGCTGAAGTCAAACTACACACAGTAATTTAACGTTTAATTTTCCACTGAGCTCTCATAATGAGTATACATACTGTGTGTAAACTCAGTTCCTCCTCCCTGTAGGATGCCTTTGTGGAGTTCCTGAATGGCTCTCACCTGTTTAAGAGCATGATCAAAGACGATCCGGAGGCAGAGACTCTACGCTGTGTGCCTGAAGTGGCTCAATTGCTTCAAACATATCCTTTGTCTTTTTGGCTTTCTAATCCATACAGTTGTATTAATAATAACATATAAAATGGAGATATGAGGGTTTGAATTCCTTTACCCTACAATTACATTCGAGCAACAAATGGTGAAGCTGTGTATGCAGTTATTTGAATTTGGTTTGGCTGAGCATAAGCGCAGAGAGACAGAGGTGACTTCCTTCTTCAGTGGTCAGAACAAGGCTGTGACGTACTACCAGGGCATTGCATCGCAGATATTGGCAAATTTTGAGCAGCAACACAGAGAGGTGAGCTGAAACGGATTTAGATAAACTTGCTATTACTGACTGTTACTATAAGAATATCTCCTGTGTGCACACCTTTCTAGAGGACAGAGGAGCTGCAGCAGTTATCCGACCTGGACCTGCTGAAGGTTAAGATGGACCAGTGTAATGATGAAATCGACCTGCTCTGTAACAGCCTCATGGAGCTGGAGTTTGAGATGGCTGGCGAGCTGGAGGTATGTGCGTATGTATGCGTGTGTGTGCACCTTCTATACTTTGTGCATCATGTGATCAGTCTGGTTAATTAAGTGTATTCAGGAAAATATAGTGGGTGAGACAAGAATTAGCTATCTTAACACCCCACAGTCCTTCCGCCTTGCTGCCTGCTGCTGCGGACAGCTTCCCAGGGACGAGAGCAGCTTGAGAGTCAACCTTCAGCCGACAGGTGTAGCAACTCAGATTTGGTCAGCACAAACCTCCCTCCACCAGGTGTCACAGTGGGCTGGTAGCCACAGGCAGTACCAGGTCTAACCTGTGTAACAGCAGCGAAAGGTTTGCTGTCCAGTGGAGAGTCAGGGCTGTCTAGTTACCCAGAGCTGGGGTTTACATCGGCTGGATTCAGGTTGCTGTGGCTGCTGACTGGGGGTCTGTCTCAGGAGCTGCTGCCCACTTTTATCCCGACAAGGTGATTTGTAGCAGCGGGAAGTGAGGTGGAGAACACACTGTGATCCGAGGCTCTGATTACGTCAGCTACATACACATGAACTTGAATTAGCCAGAGCCGTGAGCCTTCAGCTCCGGTTAGCAGAAGGCTAAACTATCAGTAACATTTTCCGTCCATCTCTGAAACACTTCACATTGACACGTTTCATTTTGTTTATTTTCAGATTCTCTATTAGACTCTCTTTTTGATAAGTCTTTGTTTCTTTTTTTGGGTTGCTTTGTAGTGCAGGCAGCTGTTGATAATGCTGATTAGCAACTTTCTCTACAGGATCCTCAACCATTGAATCAGGCTTTGATGTGCACATGCTGCATTTGTAGAACAGCCAATATGAACGCCCTATCTGTGAAATGACCTGTGATTGGCCAAAGTCTCCTATCACAGGCTAAATGTTAATTAGCCTGAAAACTGAGCCATGGGTTCACTTGAATTACAATATGCACAAAGGTTATTGGAGGATTTTTGCCCAATGAAGGCAAAAATTAAACTGTCTACCCGTGCTACCCTGCTAATTTAAGTTATGCGCTATAATTTATTTAAGATTCTGCATATACAGATTAAATCATTTACTTCACAGCCACATGGCAAAATCTGTGTCTTTTTTATTTATTTCCTCATCATGAAACCTCTTGTTCATTTCAGAACATCATCAAATTGTTGGACACCACCATCTCAGACATGGTCTGCAACTTCAGTGAAACTGCTCAGGAGATATATCCTTTCTCACTGTGCATCAGCTTAACAGCTTTGAATAATTTCCCACAACACTGGTTCATCACAGCTCTCAGGGTCAAGCTATTGAAATACTGCACTTCCTCGTTTGAGGAAGCAAACTTCTCCCAGTCCAATTTTAATATAATCAAATCTGTGTCCCGGAGCCCTCTTTGTGTGGTCAGTGATCCAGGCTTGTTTAAATGTCAGTGTTTGAATCATATACAGTGACGCACACACAGTGTGGTTGCAAAATGAGCTATAATCTAATTTAGACTTTCCATGACACAGTTATACATTTGTGCAATGTCGAGATCTGGAGGATAGTTATTATGAGAAGGTGCGAGAGGTTGCTGTGGCAACTCTGGAGAGTGTGGCCAAGGACAACGTGGATGAGGACCTACCAGATGATGTTAAAATGGTGAGTGTTATCCTGGCTATCCAAAATACATGATTACATTATGGTTACTATCGATTGTTTGTTTGTCGGCAAGGACTTCTCTGTCTGTTCTGCTCTGTTTAATCTCAGAGATAACTGAACATGACTGTGACCAAATAAAGATGATAAGCCCACCCAAAAAATAACGCCATATTGTCTGCACACCCTGCCATGTTGACACCCCAGTGCAACATTACAAGCACAGTTTTTAAAGGCCTGACAGTCAGTTGCTCAATTTAGCATACGTATGTAAAGAAGCACACATGTTATTGGAGATGTAGCAGAGTAATAGCAGTCTAATGTGAAGAGATTAACCTGACATGAGATTAACCTGGATGGGTCAGACAAGGTGGGGACATGGTTTATTACCAGTGTCAGCACCCTCAGCCTTTCACACCTGTGTTTACTCTGTGTAGCTGTTTACAGACAAACACACAGTGATGGATGCACTGGCCACTGGCCACGATAACCACCTGCTGAAGATCAATGACCGAGAGACTCAGTTGGTTACACGTGCCAATGCCTGGAAAGTGGCCCTCATTAAAGGGGTAGAGAGCTGAAATTCCATAAATTACCAACACCCCAGTTTAGATTTTTGTGTGGATGACAAACCTCTCCCGCATATCTAACAGTCTTGTTATTGTGTGCTTTTTTGTCTTCATGGGATATTACAGATTCAACATGACAAAATGAAGTGGAACCGCATCCGCATCTCAGACACCCACAGATATAGGGACTATTTGAGGGAGCAGCTGGAGAAGTTGCTGTAGCAGCATCTGTGAAATGTTTTCCCCCAAAACATTTGTTTATGTTCTTGTTTTTTGTTGTTGTTGTTGTAATGTGAAACCTGACTGGACAACTGTAACAAATTTTACTGTGTGCAAGTAAAAATATTTGTATTCTCTATTTGTATTTTCTAAGAAATAATTCCACCTCTTTTTTGCTGCTTATTTTGAGATATCAAAAATATATTTTAATAATATTTATACTGTTTCAGTGTCTTCCCTTGTTCCCTGGTCAGCCACATACATGTGCATGTGCGTAGACCAAAAACAGAAAGGAAAAATATACATACAAAAATAATAAGTACATTTTGAACTGAAACAATAAAATAAACAAATAATATTATAGGGAAAAAAACAAGTAATCCGACAATTGTGTCCACACATATATCTTTTAAAAAGTGATGTCTTCAAAGCTTGTTTTATTTTTAGATGTAAAGCAAACAAAATTAAATAACAAATGTATTCAATTCAGCATTAAAAAAAGTTATATTGAAGGATTTAAAGGTTTAATTGTCACAGCAATATGTGCAATGAAATATAATGTTTCTTAAGCTGTGCTAAAAAGCTAGAGTAAAAAGTAGTTTAATTTTAGAATATATATAAAGGATGAAAATAAAATGTTTCATTTATGAAACATGCGTATGATATGTGGTATTTTAAATATAGTTTTGTACTTTATCAAATATTTTATTTATATGTAAAGTAGGAACAGTAATCGGTTTTGTTTCTAGATTCTGCATTTAAAAATGAGAACATACATTATCAAAAACAAAATTAAAACATTGTAATTTTCTCACATTTCTCTCAAATGCTGATGGTTGTAGTGTAATAGAGTATTGAATACAACTCCCAGAATGCATTTGGGTACATTTCCCAACCAATGAAATTCAAGGAAGCTGGATTCTCAAATGAAACGTTGCAATATCCCTCCCCAGTCCCTCCAGTAGTTTTCGGGACCTCGGGGATTTTGTGCAGCTGGCAGTCCCTCTGTCAGGACCCTTTCTCTGTCCAGCTGTGGTGTGCTCTACCGTAAAGTTCATGACGGTTGCTGACGGTGACACTTTAGCGCTCATCATGCCTGTCCGAGCAGAGTGCTGCAGCACCACCGGCTCGGCCTGTTCATCCTCGGCCTCTCTTGTTCCCCCTGCCCCGATCAACACCTACCAGCCGGGGGTGGCCACCTCGCTGCTGTACAGCGGCTCACAGTTTCGGGGCTATCAGAAGAGCAAAGGCAACTCATACGACGTTGAGGTTGTTATGCAGGTAATGTCTTCATGACGTGTACTTGTCCTGTTTGGTTTTTAATATTAGTTTGTTTATTGTTATATGCTAAGTCAGCATATTTGTAGCCATAGTTGCTAACATGCTAACTTAGCTAACGGTAGCTTCTTACCCGTTTTATGGTTGTTATGCAGTACTAACGCGCTGACCTAATTTCGCTAGATGACTCTCTTTTTACTGGGACATTCTGAGTTTAGACCTAATATATTTAAATAACGTTTTCGTCATGTATTTTGCTGTATACATATACCCAAACACGTTAGCATTTTGTGCAGCTAGCTACCTAAATAAGTAGAATTAATCTATTAGCGCTGACTTTGACAGCAATGTCAACAGACTTACTGACAGCAAATATAATACCTTCCTGTACCCCCATTTAGCACAGTTTGTCTCTGCTCACATCACCCCTCCTTGCTTTTTATTTTTACATCATTAAAGTAAAGGAGATACATTTTGCACCTGTGATTTTTGGTCACTTGATATCAATAATAAGGAGTCCCCCAAATCTCTCTGCAGCATGTGACTGTGGAGGACTCATATTTGTGTGGATACCTGAAGATCAAAGGCCTGACTGAGGTGAGCTCTGAAACTAGGTCAAATGTAATAAGACTGACCTTTATTCTACCAAAGACTAAGTCCAAACTGGTTTCCACAGTTAAGCAATGGGGAACTGGTTTCCACTTGCTCGATGCTGGCTACATTTGTGACAGAGATTAGGGTTGGAGACAAATGTGAAGCCATTGGGTTTAACCTCTCATTTCAGGTCTGCAGTCTAGTTTGTAGCTTAAGTGTGTCAACTGTATACCCATTACGTTATATAACATATGGAGGGGAAAAGGTCAGTAGGTTGCTGGAGTAAATTTTGGCAGCGGCAGAGTGGAGTGAAAGATGAGTAGCCAAGATGTATGTGTGTGTGTGTGTGTGTGTGTGTGTGTGTGTGTGTGTGTGTGTGTGTGTGTTTCTATAGAAGTAATGAGTGGTATTTAAGTTGACAAGTTGTTAATGTGAAAATGAAGCCCAAGAGATTAAACTGATATCAGAAGCATGTCGCTATATTTTCCATATGTACAGTGTAAACAGGAAGTTGACTTGTACAGTGCAGTGAAACAGGGTGAAGTTTAAAAGTTAAATACAAAACTTTTATGCGTTTGAGAGCCAAATTAAAATGCTATACTACATATACTTTTTGGCGTAGTATGCAAGTTAAGAATAATAAATATACTGCACAAATTGCACAGTCCTCCCGGCAAATAATGCACGTATTGAACGGTCCAGAGTAGGAGGTTGTACTGTCTTATGCAGTGTGTGTAGGAGCAAGTGTGTGTGTGTGTGGGAGGGGAGGCTTTCACGACGATGCAAGGTGGGCAGTCGGGGGACGAAGAAAGGAACTAGGAAGAGTTAGAAAAAGACTGGTTGCTCTGTATAATCAAGTTTAGATCAAAACCTTGTGTCCGGTGCTCATGGAGAACAGGAAATGACAGAATACACAGGAAGGCAATCCAGGCGATCCAGAAATATAGAAAACGAGGAATGAAATATTGAAGAGTCTTTTCTGTAGTGACTAAGTCATTAAAAGAGCCAATATACTTCGACCACTGCAAGTCTTTATCAGGGCTTTAAACTAAACTAGGAGGAGTTGTTGAGGAGGATGAGGTGGTTCTCCTGGTGCTGAGGGAGCCGACCCTGCAGCCTGATGGGATCTTTCTAAAGAGGCAGTGAGCTGGGTGTGGTAGAGATATAAACACACAGGAGAATTGCTCAAATTTCTGTTATGTAGGCATGCATCTACTTACTGCAGTAAACCTAAATACAGGGCAGTAAGTCAGCATGCAGAATGATGATGATTCTCCCTCATGTTTGACTGTTAGCACAACTAGTTGAAGCTGCACAAGTTTATCCTGATATAAAGATAGCCAGAACGTGGGAAAACGCCCACTTAATCATAATGGCTGCATCATGCTTACTGTAATCTCTTATTTCATAGTCCGCTGCAGTATAATTTGCAGGCACATGCTTTGGAAGCAAGGTTTAACTGCTGTTAATGTATCCACTTTATCTCTCATTTCTCTGTGTGACAGGAGTATCCAACTCTCACAACATTCTTTGCTGGTGAAATTATTAGCAGAAAAAGGCCTTTTTTAACCAGGAAGTGGGACGCAGATGAGGACGTGGACAGAAAGCACTGGGTATGTCCTGTTTTATTTTTATTGTGGCTGATAATTAAATCAGTGCTCAGTGAATTCAGAATTCAAGTGTATGTTAACAAACAGAGCACACATGCTATGCAGCTTTGTTTGTGCGTCAAGTACTTAAGTGCTTGCAGACATTTTCAGTGGCTTGAATCAAATTATTATTCATTATGTGTTTTTAATTTTGTTGGATTACCTCTTGATTAACAATAGATGGAGCTGGGCAGAAGCAGTACTTACAGCTGTGTTGTGAGAAAAGCCTGTGGCAACCATTTAAATTAAGGTTTATATCAAGTAACAACAGGCACCACTAACTATGTGTACATTCACAATATATTCTGGTTTTTGGCCTTATTTTGAAAAAGACAGTATTCCTACTGAGCTATTTTTACATGTCTAATGAAAGTAAATATTCCACTACTATTCATGTTTACATGCAGTCGTGCATACTCTGATCAACGCGCCCTAACATGTCGTTTATCGTGTAAAAATACGGAAAGGTTGAACATCTGGAGCAGTTAGTGCCATTTTGCTTCTTTGCGTCAACATAGTTTTCCACCAGTTGCGGACTTTTTTAACCACGGGATCAGAGCCTCCCTCTTCCATTCCTTCAACCACCTTCCTGGAAATGTCGGCATTGCCATATTTGCGCACATCTAAAAGCCTGCGTGTATCCAAGTCTTTCATAACGTTTAGAAGTAGGTGTGTTTCCCTTTTCAACCAGAAATGTCGGCTTTTCTTTTGGGCATGCATCCCGACCCTACAGGCTTGCAAACTGTTGGTTAGTTGGTGTGTGTACAGCGCGTCCATGACAACACAAAGAGCTGACTGTAAACGGGCAAGAGGCTGTGTGTCGCAAACTGCGGTTAAAACCTCAGTTGAGACACATATTCCGAATGAGCTGTATTCGTGTCCAAAGAACGCTCCTAAAACTTGAACAACATATAACAACATATCCAACATGTCTTAATCGGAAAATGCCACACTCGGAAAAAAAGGCTTTATTCGGGATATCCAAAGGGAACATGCTGTTCACATGACCCATATTTGGAAAAATAGTACTCAAAATATGAGTGTGCATGTAAGCATGTAATGATTAATAATATTTTTTGTGACAGGAAATTGTTGTCCTGTCATCACCTCCACAGTGTCTGTTCTCTCATCAATATTTATTGAACTCTCACCAGGGCAAGTTTCAGCCTTTTTACAAATTTGCCAAAAGCTTCAACTCGGACGACTTTGACTATGAAGCACTGGAAAACAGTGATTATGTCTTCATGAGGTGGAAGGTTAGTACATGATTTTACCCTCACCTCTCTCTCACCTTGTGTTAGATTTGAGCTCTGACCTCTACTCTGTGTTTTTCAGGAGCAGTTCCTAGTACCAGACCACACTATCAAAGACATTAGCGGTGCCTCCTTCGCTGGCTTCTATTACATCTGTTTCCAGAAGTCCACAGCCACTATAGAAGGGTATTATTACCATAGGAGCTCAGAATGGTAACTACCAAACATTACAAACCAGAGTCAGGCTCTTTGCCACATTAGTACATGTTTCTCATGCCGATGTTACTCTCATTATCTTCTCTGATTACCTCTGCAGGTACCAGTCTCTAAACCTAAACCATGTCCGAGAGCACAGTATGCCTATTTATGAGTTTCGGTGACAAAC